ATTAATGATCGTTTGGATCGTTTGGCTCGATTTCCGGACTCATCCGGAGCACAACCTGGTACACATTTTCGATTTGCGATCGAATAATCACATGACGTCATCAAAGTACATTCCCGACCTTCCTTTACCTTTTTGGGGCTACAATACATTCCATGATCGATCAACATCCCTCTTACCAAGTACAAGGGTTCAACAAGAACTATGCGACGCTTATTTATAAATATATGATTACAATTTTCGTTCTCTGCAACTGCATCTCTAGTTGATGTTTTGATTATTTTTAATGAATTGTAATTTTTGGCGATAAATCGATTCTTTATTTTCATCCTTCTCAACTCCGATTTATTTTGATAACAATATTCAACATTGATTATCCTTATAGCGTCCCCCATCTCAGTAGATTCTCGATAATAAATGGATGCTTTATGTTCATCTTTTCCGACTCCAATTCCAAGTTGATAGCAATGTCCAACATGACATGTTCCTTTAACATTTTACATCTCGGTAGATTTTTGATAATAAATAAATTCATTATGTTCGTTCCTCTCAACTCCAATTCCATCTTTACAACAGTTACCAATGAAGATTTTTTATAATAAATGAATGCATTATTTTCATCCTTTTTAACTCCAGTTTCTTTCTTTCATAACAACTTCCGACGGTATATCTCAGCAGATTTTTGGTAATAAATGAATGCCTTATGTACATCCTTTTTAATCCCAGTTCCATTAAAATAACAACATCAAACATTATATGTTCACCCTCGTCTCCATATCCACAGATTATGAATGCCCGATGTTCTTCCTTTTCAACCCAATTCCACTAAAATAACAATGTCCAATCATATAAGTATCTATTTCATGCACAATTTCTGTGGATTTTCGATAATGAATAAATGCCTTAAATTCATTTTTTCTAATTCCGATTCCATATTCGTAACAATAGCCAACATTAAAGGTTCCTTTAGTATGACCCATCTCAGCAGATTTTTGATAATTAATGAATGCCTTATGTACATTCATTTTAACTCCAATTCCGTGTTGATAACAAATACCAACTTGACACATCCCATCAGAGTCACCCATCTTAGCAGATTTTTGATAATAAACAAATGCCTTACGTTCATCTTTTTCAACACCAACTACATGTCCATAACAATAACCAACATGACCCATCTCAACAGATTTTGATAATAAATGAATGCCTTACGTTCGTCTTTTTCAATTCTGATTTCATGTTGATAACAATAACCAACTTGATATGTTCCATCATAATCACCCACCTCACAGATTTTTGATAATCATATGTACATCTTTTTCAACCCCAATTTCATTCCCATAAGAATAGCCAACACTAAACATTTCTTTAGCATGTCCCATTTCCGCAGATTTTTGATAATATGTGAATGCCTTACGTCCATCCTTTTTAATTCCAATTCCATTTTGATAGCAATAGCTGACTTGAAAAGTTCCATCAGCATTGCCCATCTCAGTAGATTTTTAAAAATGAATGAATGCTTGATTATTATCCTTTTCATGTAAGTAAGAAGTACCAGCGCGATATGTTGCATCTGAACTTCTAATTTTTTTTAAATGTATCTGTACGTTTAAAAAAATCGAATTTTCAAGATCATTCATATAATCATATTAAAGATAATTATACAAATAAACTATTTCTTCCACTTTCAATAATTATCTCTACAAATTTGCTGACTTATAAGTAATAAAGTTTGATTTGATGCGAGTGATTGCCTGAAATGATTGCAACTTTAAGTCGCGCGTTGAAAAAAGCATTTTCAGCATCGTTATGATTGAGAAATTCTAAAATTTGTCGGGTAGTTGAAAAAGTCATTTTGGAAAATATTTTGAAAATAACATTCCATATGGAATCTACTTTCTTTTTATCAAGTTTGTTATTATAAATCGGAGGATTTAAAATTGCTTGCTGCAATGTTGATAATTGCTTTCCTGTGCATAGAGAAATTGCGATTTGAAGCCGTTCAAGGAAAAATTTATTCTCAACACTGTTAAAATCGACAATTCCATTTGTAAACTGATCACGGAATTCTAATACTTGAGGGCAGTTGAAAATATTTCTTTTGAAAAAATACCGATAATAACATTCCACATCAAATCTACATTACGCATATAAATTGATAGGTTTTATTCAGAATATTGTAACCGTTTGAGTAAATATGTGGTTTCGTTTGTGTTGAGAAAATTAACTTTATATATAGCATGCTTTATAGTGTTGAAAACGATTTCTCATTCAATAGATTGACAGCCTCGTTCTAAACCAAATTTGCCTTGTTTTCATCAGCATTCTCTGCTGATTTCATATTGCGCATCATTTGGCAAATATTTTAATAATACGGTCAAACCCTCTATAGTCACACCTTCGGGATACAAAAAACTGTGTGACTAATATAAAGGTAATTTCTATATAGTTATAAATAATTGGTAAAAATAAATTTGTAATTATATTAATTTTGTGACTATAGAGGAGGTGACTATAGAGGGGTCGACTGTAGTTGGTTCTTTAAGGCATAAGTTGAGAGCGAGTATCCATTTCTTTTTTTTACCAAAATTTGAACACCGTCGTTATACATACTAACTATTGATTACTAAATATGTAACCTTGAAGCAATAGATGTGTTTTCAAAAGCAACAAGAAAAAAGACTTTCAAGAGTTTTTGTTACAGTATATTTTAATGGTAGACGTACGGTGCAAGAAATCTAAAAACCACAATGATACCTTATAAAGACAATATATAAACAGCGAAATTAAATACAACTTTATTTAAGGTGATAATTTAATTTTAATATCATATCGGCCGATTTGGTTTGACCCCAAAATTAGCCAATCTTGATTGAGAATTATTTGTCGTTAGAATTTATTACCAAGTAAGATGTTACAAAAATGGTCTTTTAAACTTACTTTGAATTCATAATTAAGTATATAGAATATTGCAATATCTACATGTTTAATTATTAGCTAAAAGTAAGTTAAAAAGGCCGTTTGTCTCAAAAATTGCTTCCGAATTCACCCTTGCCCATTACCCGGATTTTGCTTTTTTTTTGCTAAAAATTGTTCTAATATGTTAAATCTTTGTTCTGAACTTTTGCCCTTTGATCTTTCTTCATCGTATAAATTATATAATTCTTTAACAATTTCATATAATTGGTTGCTATCTGATGAAATGTCGTTCTGTTTTATATTATTTGTCATTTTAAATTAAGAAGTCAAATTTCGTACGGTGCAAGAAATCTAAAAACCACAATCTTTTTATATATAAAAGATAAATTATGTACGGAGCAAGAAATCTAAAAATCCCAATCTCCTTATATAGAGAACCCAAATTACGTACGGTGCAAGAAATCTAAATTTACAATCTCCTTATAGAGACAAAGTAATAAATAAGTAACATATTATTGAAACTAAATATTTCCTAAATTATTAGCATCAATAAAAGTGTGTACTTAAATGCCTTATTAAAGTCTATAATTTAAGAAATATTTAAATTCGATCTACTGCATGTACAGTAGTGCAGATGATTCTGTAATGTTAATCACAAACTTTAATCACTCCAATCAAATTTCAAGATCAGTTGTAACGTAGCACGATCGGGACAATTCAAAACAATCGTTTTGTCAAAAATCGAGTAAAAAAAGTTTCCTTGTAAAATTGATATATAAACTACTCTCGACTCCTAACTTAGGGACAAGGCCCTAACCCTAACATAACAGCACAAAATTTTACTTCGAAATTTTTTTGGGTGGCGATTTTACTCTTGTGGAATAATATGTACTTAATATGTGCTGTTTTATAAATACGGCCGAAACTTAAAATAGACCGCTACTGAATTTAGCTTAACTTCAATGTGCTGGTTGTTTTTTATTCTATATATAATTGTTATTTTTAGATTTCTTAAACGTTCGGTGCAAGTAGAGATGGGTCGATGCGCATTCATGCATGCGCATTCATGCGCATGAATCCGAAAAATGCGCATTTTTCCCATCAATGTTTTATATATAAAAATTTGTTAGCTTCGACACTAAAGTAATACTTTCATGCGTGTGTACTAATACGCATCTATACATATAATTCTATTTCATTTACTTGATATTTAATCAAAATTTTATAACCATTTAACCGTGTTAACCATTAACTCAGCCGACATTAATATAATTTTGGCCCATGACCAACATAATGCGGGCTAGAACTATGGAATAACTTTTGTGTTGAATTCTTATTATGTCTTGAGCCTAAAAATCAAATGTATTATTCTTTGTAACGTATGTAAATAATTGAATACAATTTGAAATTAGATTGAAATTTGTCCAGCAAAAAATGCGCATGCATGCGCAGTTTTCCGAAAAATGCGCAAGAAACAATTATACCTTATAGAACACATCAATGAAGTGTGTATGCGAACACTTTATTGAAGTCGATAATTTAAGAAATATTGGTTTTAATGTGCTGCGCGATTATCTGCTTGATGTAATCTGTAATGTAACCTATAAAGTTACACATATCCGCTGATTTGATTTTTAGGGTCTTTTTTCGATAAACAGTTACACGAACTTTGCCACTAAGTGACGTGAAGAATAACAAACGAAACATTCATTAAG